AGAGAGAGAAGAGGAGAAGAGAGAGAGAGAGAGAGAGAGGGAGAGGGGTGGGGGGTGGAGAGAAAGCGTGTGTGTGTGTGAGAGAGAGAGAGAGCACTCATACAGTGTGCGTGTGTGTACGTGGATATATTGATAGATAAATAGATTGCTTGATAGAGTGATAAGTAGATAGTTAGACAGATAGATAAGTGGATACTGTATGCGTCCGTGTGTATGTATGTACATATAGAGATAAACAAATAGGGAAAATAGCCGGATAGATACAGAGACATAAATAGATGAATTCGAACCAGAATTCGAAAGAGACGAGAATGAAAACTTGAGCAATTACTTGGAAGTATAAAAGTTGAAACAAGCAAGGTCAGTAAGAAAATGTATGAAAGAAAAACGTACATAAATCGAAAAAAATCAAAACAAATGAAAAAAAGCTGAAGTGCCTCATCTAGATTACACACATAAAAAGCGAAAGCTGTGTTGCTAGGAGAGAGAAAGAGAGAGAGAGAGAGAGAGAGAGACCCCACTGCGAATCTACATTAACACGTCTGGCAGTGACGCTCAGCCTAGAACAGCGAGAGGACGACACTTCTCGCTATCACTGGAAGCCGCTCCAGGTTGGTCGTTCCTCGGCTTTTGAACTATGGCGTGGCTTGTTCTCGGCTTTGGGGCTTCGGTGGGGTTGAATTTGAGGTCGTCTAATTTTTTTTTTTTTTTTTTTTGGGGGGAGGGGGTATTCAAATAAGGTTTTTTCATTTGGTTAAGGCGTTCGTGGGTTGTTAGGTCGTCTGATTTTTTTTCTTTTTTTTTTTTTTGGGGGGGGGGCAGGAGGGGGTATTCATATAAGGAGGTTTCGTTATATGGGATTATGGTGTTCGTGGCTTGTTTGTTTTTGATTGCTTGTTAATGGGGGGGATCTCTCTACCTTACATTTTACCCCATTAGCTCCCCCTCTTTACCCTTCTCACTACCATACTATTCCTCTGGTGCTCTTCAACCTTTAAGTTTACCTTAATCATTAACTCGATCCTTAACCCTTGACGCTGTTGTACCTTACCATAGTGTTAAATGACCTTGATGTCTGCCACGAGTATTTGTTTTACCCTTTAACCACCGTTGTTATGAGGACTGGTACGTAAGCCTTGTCGGTAAATTAGCTTTTAACGGCTTTCTGTGAGATCGTGGCGTAATGAGGAATGGATTTAAGTCCCCATACATTTGGTGCAGATAAAAGTAAGATATACTGGTATAATGTTGCATTTAAACCGGTCCTGGCTTTTAGTTTTCGCTTAAAAGTTTTTTTTTTAGCATCAACGCGGAGGAAAAGATATTCATACATTTCATTTTCGATTTATTCTTTATCTGATGACAGGAGTCTTAGATCCTGTCGTGTATTTTGGCTTCCACAACTTCCACAACTCTCTCTCCTTACCCCTGTCTATCTGTATGTATATATATGTGTTAGTTTATAAATATAAACAAATATGTGTGTGTGTGTGTGTTATTTTATATATGCATGTATGTGCGTATGTTATCCATAGATCAAGGGAAACGACTTTCTTGCTCTTATGTCGAGTACGTCAATATCGAAAAGGATCGGCGTGTGTCTTATTCAGACAAGAACCCGACCAAGCAAAGGAAACACAGGGAGTCAGGGAGGCAATGTAGAAGAGGAGAAATGAGGAGCATGAAGAATTGGTAGAGTTGGGAGCATGGTAGAGATAGCATTAGTTGCTCATGGAGAACATTTTGCTTCACTTTTTACCCTAAAGATATGCTGGAAGATTCTTCTGGGAATGATGTTTTGGGTCATTCGTCGTGGGAGAATATAGTGCACCTGGCTAATGTATATGCCACTCAAATATTTGAATATAACTAGTTACGATTATAATGATGGGATACTCCGCGCTTTCACAAACATATGTGTGTGTGTGTAGCGACCCCAAGTGATGATATGCAGATGAACCAGACCCAAAGATCTTTAAGTGGAGACAAATATTGTCAGTCTACACATATGAAGGTCTCTCAAGAGGGCGTTTGTCTCGGTCAATAATTCTGCGAATCTTGCTAAAAGTTGGCACGTCTGTGTACGTGTGTTTGTTTATTAAGTAATAAGACTGATGCTAAATATGTTCAAGGAGAGGGCAGGCTGCTATGGTGTTTACTTTTGTTGTCATGCTACAAAAATAGCCTTCGTGCATCTCGTTCATATACACTAGTTATGTAAAGGAATAAAAAAATATATTGTCGTTTTTCTTGCACGGTATACACTAGAGTTAATATTTATATCATTTCATGGTAGTGTTCCGATTTCAAAAATGCAACGACTATACTTTATTTACATATGTGTTTAGGAGTACCTAAGTCATAGTATATACTGAAGTGTGCTAAGGTCAAATCTCTCATCTAAAATGGAGGATTTCTACTCCAGTCTATGATATTACTTCAGTTGTAATGTAATTCTCATTATATTTATCGTAGCTGCCAAAGCAGTATAATATTGAAAGGCATAAAAAGAGTCAGTCACAAATTATATGTAAAGAAAGAAATAAAAAATAGCACATTTATATTTTTCCTCGAAATGTACATCCATCTTTACTTTATATTCATAACGGGTACACCTAAAAGTCGCAAGAAAACATATTTTACTGTTGTAAAGTTATCTCCAAAGCCCCGAAGATCTTGATCTCCTTTATCTCTGTTACATAAATGAGATAAGGGTCATCTGAAGATAAGACGCAACAAGAGAGAGGGGGGGAGTGGAGAAAGTGGGAGGGAGGGTATAAGAGATAAGACCTTCTACATTGATACTGGTTGAAAGAAGTGACACGAAACGGCTTACTCTTTATTCTTAAGAGTTACACGAGTAGAAATAAACACGATACGAGACTGGCCAGTGATGGTGGCAGTCGCAGTCGCAAGCCCTGGCGAGGACAGCCGCGCGGAGGTTGAGCGGAGGTCCCCACGGCCCGGAGGTCAGGCCGTCTCTGTGTGACCTGAGGTGGTCACCCTTGGGGCGCGTCCTCGACGCAGGAAATGCCAGGTCAAGTCAAGTTGTATGCTTAGCCGGAGGGGGAGTGAGGGAGGAGCCCCCTCCATAATGACTGCCAGATTGGAACAGCATGGAGCTTGCACGATGCAATATGCTAAGCAGTATGCTATGTAATGTGGCATACTATAATCATGCTTACGTGAGCGCCCGTCTGTCCCCGCGTGGGTCCCTCACGCGCTCCACGTGGACGTCGCCGCTCGCCCGCTTGCATGCGCCCACGCCAAGCGGGCACAAGCGGCGGCGTCCACGGAGCGTATATTTAGAATCGCCCAAGAGGGACCCACGCGGGCACAAGCGGGCATGACGCCCATGCAAGCATGATTATGGTATGTCGTTGGGGGAGGAAGGGGGAGAAGGAGAGAGAGAGAGGCAGAGAAGGAGGGAAGGAAGGAGAAAGAGAGATACAAAGAGAGAGGGGAGGGAGGGAAAGAGAGAGAGAGATACAAAGAGACAGAGAAAGAGGGAGGGAAGGAGAGAGAGAGATACAAAGAGAAAGGGAGGAAGGGAAGAAGAGAGAGAGATATAAAGAGACAGAGAAAGAGGGAGAGAGCGGGGGGGGGAGGGAAGGAGAGAGAAAGATACAAAGAGACAGAGAAAGAGAAAGGTAAGGAGGGATGGAGAGAGAGAAGGAAAGAGAGATGGAGAGAGGTAGGAAATGAGAAAGAGATACAAGGAGAGAGGGTGGACAGGGAGAGAGAGAGAGAGAGAGACAGAGAGAGACAGGAGACGGGGGAATGAGAAAGAGATACAAAGAGAGAGGGTGGAGAGGCAGGGAGAGGGGGGAGAGAGCGAGGAAAGGAAATTAAGACAGATAGGCGAAGAGAGAGAAACAGGGAGAAAAGGAGTAAATGAGTGAGAGAGAGGGGGGGGGAGAAGGGGATAGAAGCAGATAGACGAAGAGAGAGACAGAGAGGATAGGAGGGAGAGAGAAAAAGGGGGGAGGGATGGGGGGAGGAAATTGAGGCAGATTGACGAAGAGAGAGACACAGAGGAAAACAGTGAGAGATAGATAGATAGAGAGGGAGAGGGGGGAGGAAATAGAGACAGACAGAAGAGAGACAGAGAGGAAAAGAGTATGTGTGTGTGTGTGTGTGTGTGTGTGAGAGCCAGAGAGAGAGAGAGAGAGAGAGTCGTCTGCGTGTGTGTAGATAGCTTGCTAGATGGATAGATGTAGAAGCGCATCTGTGCCTATGAAAGCATACAACCCTACTTGTAGATGTGATGTGAGAGTGCACGCCCGCCCATGTAGACACGAGTCAAAGGTCATGACCGAGGCCGCCAGCAGGGGAGGAGGAGGAGGAGGAAGGAGAAGGAGAAGGAGAGGAGAGGAGGGAGAGGAGAGGAGGAGGAGGGAGATAAAGACGGTGCGCTGAGATGCTCCTTATCTGCGCTAGCCTCTCGGTTTATCTAAAAGTGCTTACCTCTTTATCTCTGTCATTTTTCTTCCTTGCTTTATCATTTCTCTATCTCTATCGTTTATCTTCATTTCTTTATAATTTCTCTATCTCTATCGTTTATATTCATTTCTTTATCGTTTCTCTATCTCTATCATTTCTCTTCCTTTCTTTACATTTCTCTATCTCTATAATTTCTCTTCCTTTCTTTATCGTTTCTCTATCTCCATAATTTCTCTTCCTTTTGTAGTGAACCACCTGTTCGGTAGATCACCGGGTGAGCGCACCTTGAGCTGGGGCTGGAAATCTATTTTCAGTGTAAATCACAATTAACGGGATGAACAGAAACACTCGTAGCACTTGCCGGTTTATTGAAATATTTATTAAAAGACTAAAAGCAACACAAAAAGCACAATAAAACACGTAAAAAGGCGGGAGGCCACACGTCCAGCCAGCTCCGAGGGTCAAGGTGAACTGCCGAATTTGGCGGTAAGATGGGGTACGTGAAACACCCCCCCAGAGCTGGTGGTTCGTGATTGGCTGAACGTGAAACAGGTGACAAACAAAGTGTATATATAGACATAAAACGCAGTAAAAAGAATAAAAAGAAGTCAGTAAATTAATGCGCAAAGATATAGACATAAAACACGGTAAAAAGATAAAACACGATAAAAAGGATATAAAAATACAAAAAAAAAAAAAAGAAAAATACACAGATAAAAGGCATATAGCTCCCAGCGAAAGGCATAGAAATAATTAAGATAAAAAATAATTAAAATGAACAGGTGAACTTCAGAGTTCACTACACTTTCTTTATCATTTCTCCCCCTAATTTCTGTAATTTCTCTATCTCTAGCATTTCTCGCCTTGATTATCATTTCTCCTTGTCCCTTTAATTTCTCCCCAATCTCTATCACTTCCTTCCTTACTTTATCCTTTCTCCAACTATCTCCATCATTTTCTCTCATGGTAATTTCTCTCCTTCTATTCATATCTATCTTCTTACGTATTTTTTCTTCTTTTTTTTTCTGCACAGAATGGAGATCCTGTACGCCCTCGTGGCTTTGGCAGCGCTGTCAGCAGGTGTCAGCGCCGCCCCCGTGGTGTCGCTGCCCGACGGCCGTGTGTCTGGCGTGAACGAGCGGTCGGCGAAAGGACGGGATTTTTTCGCGTATTACGGCATTCCTTACGCCAAGCCTCCTCTGGACAAGCTCAAGCTCAAGGTACGGGAGGAAGGAAGGAGGGAGAGAGAAAAAAAGAAAAGAAAAGAGGGAGAGGGACGAGAAAAAAAAAACGTCAGATAATCTACAAATAGATATTGATCATTCACCCTCTGTTCCAGAAGGCGAATCTCTTCCAGCTATTCTTTTGTCCTTTGTGTCCTCACGAAAGACCAAAAAGACCGCATCGACACAGCTTAAGGTCCAATATTATCACTTCTTCCACGCCCTCAGGATCCCGTGCGGGCAGACAAGTGGGTGGGCACGAGGGACGGGTCCAAGATGCCCCCGCCCTGTGTCCAAGTGCCCGTCGACCACGTGCTCCTGGGCCTCCCTATCACGCTCGACGACATTGTGGGAGAAGAGGACTGTCTCTATCTCAACGTCTTCACGCCTAAGGTGGGCTCGGAGGGGGAGGTGCAGGGTGTGTGTGTGTATGTGTGTTTATGTGTGTGTGTGTGTGTGTGTTTATGTGTTGTGTGTGTGTGTGTTTGTGTGTGTGTGTTTATGTGTGTGTGTGTTTGTGTGCGTGTTTGTGTGTGTGTGTTTATGTGTGTGTTTGTGTGTGTGTGTGTTTATGTGTGTGTTTGTGTGTGTGTGTGTGTGTGTTTGTTTGTGTATGTCTTTTTTGTGCTAGTGTGTATGGACTTCAAACTACACATAAAAGGCTTGACTGAAGGAAGCTCTATTTTGCCCCCGTCCCGTCCTCCGCAGAAGAAGAAACCCGACGAAAAGCTTCCGGTGATGGTGTACATCCACGGCGGCGCCTTCTTCGTCGGCGGCGCCCACGAGTACCTGCCGCACGTCCTCATGAACCACGACATAGTGCTGGTTGTGATCCAATACAGACTGGGAACTCTAGGCAAGTAGCGTCTCCCTGCTGCCTCGCGTGCCTTGGCCTTCCAGAGTCAGATTCACAATCAGATTCGTATGAATTATTTGCCAAAACATGTACAGCTATGAATTACATAACGCAAATTATATGTGTGACTGCGCTCCGTCGTGGCCCTGTCAAAACTCAGTGGTTTAAGCGATTTTTTTCCAATTTGATAGGATTGATACTAAAGATCGCTTTAATTCCCCTGCGTAGGTTTCATGTCGACGGAGGACATGGTCATGCCTGGCAACTTCGGCATGAAGGACCAGGTCATGGCCCTCCGCTGGGTGCAGGAGAACATCCACAGCTTCGGGGGCGACGCCGACAGGGTCACCATCTTCGGGGAGAGCGCGGGCGGCGCCTCCGTCCACCTCCACGTGCTGTCGCCCATGTCCAAAGGTGGGAGCCCGTTCTGCGAGCGGGGCGCAGGGAAGAGAAAAGCAAATCTAAATGGGTTTACTTTGCAACTGATAGTTTCGTTTAGCAATTGGTTTATCACAAAGTAACAAATAGGATAAGATTCCTGTGTTTTTTCGAGGATTTTCCTGTCCATCAAAGTATGTCGTCAGTATGCCCTATTGCGTATGCGCTCTCTGACAAAGGAAGTGTGGGTGGATTGCAGATTCAGAGAGAGGAAGAACAGAAAAAAAATATCCAGTTCATAACCAGATGTAAAGATCGCCGTAAAATTCCACACTGGAATTGAAACTGATATAAAGACCCAGAAAAAGTTTATTAAGATCTGACGATGATATTATATATACAGTCTTAAGGTAATGTTATATGAACAGAAGCACAAACACAGTAACGTGTACACAAAAGTTAAAATTAAAATAGCCACATTGAGAATTGGAAATAATCGTAACGTTTCGAACTCTTCACGAGTTCCTCTTCAGACAAAATTTTACCATTTCGGTTTTGTCTGAAGAGGAACTCGTGAAGAGTTCGAAACGTTACGATGAT